TGTTGAGCCAAGGTTTGAAGGATAACTTAAAAAAAATGGGGAGGCTGGGGGGAAGAGCCAGGAAGAAAGAAGTTTTGGTAGCATATCAGCCCACGTGTAGGACAGGCAGAAGACATTGAGAAGTATACAAGAAAAGGAGACGGTTTGGTAGTGTGGAGCAAACATCTGTATGGCAGGTGAAGCCTCCAGAGATTCTGCCATAGCCAGATCCCTCTGTGCAAGGCAAGGAGTATGAGCTTTATCTTGAAAACTGTAAGGGGCCATTGAAGGATATCGTTAAATAGGGGTATAGCATGATTAGGTTTGCCTTTTAAAAAGATCACTCTGTCAGCAATTTACAGACTGTAGTGTTCTACAAGACAGAATAATAGAGACTCAATATGGGGTAGGCAGTTACTACATATATTTCAATGAGAATAGATGTGTAAAAACAAAGAGTGCAAAGAAGATAAATGTAAGAGAAGAGCTTTTCTTGTAGAGGAATCATCATATGCAAAGTCCTGTGCTAGGACAAATATAAGGGATTGAAGAAGGCCATGGTGATGCCCTTGGGTTAGAACAAAGGGAACCCTATGGCGCAGACTTTGAACTTGCAGGACCTAATGAACGAAAGGCAAGCGAATGTCATTTATTCTTTTTTTTTTTTTTTTTTATCAGCAAATAGTTATTGAGAACCTACTGTAAGCTACTATTCTGTACTGCCTCAAAGTAAGGCAGCAGCCACATTATTCTTGGAATTTCTAGCATCTCTTTAATCCACAAACACCCAGTAAGCACATACTGCATTCATGCTACTGTCTTCCATGCTAGGAAGGCATACAATAGGGTGCAAAGAGCACAAAGAAGTAAGAAATTTGAATCCCACTTATAGAGAGCTCTGAGTGTAGTGGTGCAGGTAGACACATGAGCAGATAACACACTGATATTAATAGTCCATTTGCCAAATGCTTATGAAATATGTGGCCATACAGAGGAATACTTACCAGATAAAGCTTTCCAGAGGCTACACTTGAGCTGGATTTTGAAGGATAAGTCACTATACCCAATTGTGTTAAAAGAATGTATATATTTTTTATTTTTATTGTGTGAGTTGAGATTATTTTTCTCTCTCATAGTCATTTACATTTCAAGTCCTGTGCAGTTCATATGCATGTTTTTAATAATGATATGTCTGTGATTTGTTAACCTGGATGAAGATGTGCTGTTACTGGCTAGGTATTGGCATCCTTAAGAATACACAGTATGTTTTCTGCTGTCTAAGCTTACTTACTACCATTTCCCCACAAAAGACCTTTGTTTTTAAGATTGTGACCAGGCCTTTTTGCCCTGTGTTGTATGTTCTGAACATGGGGAAAACTGTCCTTTATTTCCCCTGAAAGCACTGTGCTTCAGAGTTGCAACCCACCAGAACACTATCAACTGCTGAGCTTGTATGGTCCCAGATTATCTCTACTGCTGTTCTTCTCTATCTTAAATGCTGATTACATTATGATTATTTTTCTCCTTAATTTTTTTCTTTTTTTGTGACCTTAACAAAATGATGTAGGAGTCATCAAACAATTGACATATTCTATCACCTGTTTAGACGTTGTTATTTCTCATATATAAATTGCAGTTCCTGATACAGGTTGATATATATTCAATGACTATTAATTGGAAGAAGCTTATTTCATATATGTAAATAATTTTAAGTACATGTATAGTAAGTATGGATAACACACAGGTTAACAGCCAAGGAAAGGAAAACAACATATTAATCAGTTTTACTTCTGTTTCTAATTTTACTTCTAGTGTTAAAACTCATCATAAGATACACTTTAACATCCCTATACAGAAATGGATAGAATGCTTATCTAGCTAGGAAATATGAAACTAAAATTTAAATGTATCTGTGAAGCTTATATCATGATGTAGATGTTTGATTGTGGAAAAAGCAGTAGCTTCACAAAAAAAATGTTGGACTTAAAAAATAGAGAGAAGCTATGGTACATGCAGACAGCTACAGAATATAAAGGTAACTTTTGTGGAAGAAAATGAACAATGGACTTGCAACACAATAGGGAAAGACACAAGTTCTGTTTTCTGGTTTCTAGTTTTGATAAAGTGTGTATCCTTGGGCAAATTATATACTTCTCTGGGAATACCTCCAGATTTATTGTAGAGTCCATTAGACTTAGAGCTGTTTAGTGTCAAAGACTTGACTTAATTTAACTTTGTATTCCCTGTGTGTATGTGAGAATGTTTTGCAAAGTACTCTACAAATATAAACACTGTTAAGTATGTATTGTCTAATCTTCCTGTATTAGTTCTTAAGGAGTAGTGATTTTAATTGATGGCAATATAAAGTTTCAGCTTCTTCATAGACATTGTTTGTTTCAGTTTGTTTCTTTTGTAAACAAAAACTTAAATGTAGGACATGCTAGCTGGTATAAAGTCAAGCATATACAGAGCTCAGTGTAATAATAATGGCTTGTCTTCAGAAACAAAGGATTGTATTACATTTTGTGAGTATTGGAGAGAGTAGGTTAAATATGTTTTTCCCACAGAAATGGTACTGTGAGTGGTGGCTTTGTTCTTAGGCTACTCTGCGGATTTCTGTTTAACTCATGTACCTTAAACTTATAGTGGTAAAGTGATAGGCCCCAATTTTAGACAGTTATAGGCCCCAGATAACATTTCTAATCACTGAACTTGTGGGAACCTCACTACACATTCCAAGTAGGGGTTATAAGAACATATTTTGCTACTCATTCCTTCCTTTCTGCCACTCACAAGCAGTGGCATAGAGCGAGTGGAGTAGGGATCAGTCCTATAGGTTCCATAAATTTGCTTACTCTTTGTGGCTACAATAAAAGAAGATAATTATCTAGACTGGGAACTCAAAATCAGAAGGCAGAAAGTTATTCCTCTCTGGTATCATGGTTGAAGTCTCCAAATTCAAGTTTACTGTTGTTCATTCAAAAGGATGGTTTGCAGCCATAAGCACCCATAGCACCCAGACTGGAACCTTTAAATGCCATTTCCCATCTAAAGAAATCAGGTTTTTTAAGAAGAAATGGCTGATTCCACGTTTGATGCAGAAAAATTCTAAGTTGAAGTGAGACATCTTATTGTGCCAAAACCAGGAAGCTTACTAACCACTTCTGAGTTTATGTCAAAGGACACAGAAATCAACTTGAAAGAGCTACCACTGGTAACAGATGGGGTCATTAAAAAACAAACAAAAAAAACCCTTTATTTTGAAAATTTCAAACCTATGCAGAAGGAAGAAGAAGCTTATAAAAATCCCCAGGAACCTTTCATGTAGCTTTCACCAATTATCAACTCATGGCCAATCTTATTTCAGCCATAGCCTCACCTATGCTCTTTCTCCACCATTAAATTATTTTGAAATGAATACCCCAAAGCGTATCATTTAATCTGGGACTATTTCAAGATATAGCTCTAAAAGATAAGGACTATTTTAAAAACAATCATGTTATATTTTAAAGATGGAACAATTTGAACATCAAGAAGAAGAATTGTGGTGGGTTGAACAACATTAAGTATCTATTAATAATGGGAATTTAAAAAAAACGCTCATGACTTGCCTTTGGAGATTGTTAGGACACTAGCTAGGTCATCACTCTGAAAATTGTTAAAAGGAAAGAAATCAAGGATTTGTCCTGCCTTTCCTGTACGTTGTATTTTGGAACAGTCAAACAGTTGATAAGGTAAAGCTCTTCTTTATAGAATGCCAGCAAATAAATATAGAAGGAATGCTCTAGAAAAGCATAATTCTTTAGCCCCTAATGAAATAGTGGATTTAGCCAGTGGTTATCATGGAATGCTAAAAACCTTCAAGTCAAAAGTTGATAATGAGATGTATAATGGATGGCTCAACGAATCACACCTGAAGTCATTAATGAAAATAAGTACCACCAAAAATGAGATATTTAAACATTATGTACCTACACATATGATAAAGTAAAAATGCACATATCAATACCTATGTAATATTCTTGCCAAAAACAAAGGAAGATGAAAAAGAAACTGAGGCTAAGTTTCCAGATATAGCTACCAATTTATAGGAAATGAGGACAGGATAACATGTTAAAGGGTATGAATGGCTTATAGGAGAGGGAAGGTTGAACTGAGTCCCTTGAAAGAGACCTGAGAAAAATATCTACCAAATACAACATTAACTTTGTTGGGATTCTGGTCGAAAGAAGCATACTAAAAAATCTGGGGAGAAATAGAGGAATATGAATATGGCCTGAGTAATATAAGATATTAAAGAACAATTATTAACTTGCTAGGTATGATAATGACGTTTTGGTTATGTTTTTTAAAAAGTTGTTAAAAATACATAGTGAAGTACTTCAGGTGAATCAATAGGTTGCCTGGGATTTGCTTCAAAAACTTAATGATTCAAAGTGTGACCCCCCAAGATTCAGCAGTACTGACTTTACCTAAGAGCTTGTTAGAAATGCAGAAATTCAGACTCAGAAACACTATAGAACCAGAATCTACACTTTTACATTTTTATAAGTCCCTAAGTGATTTATATGCACATTAAGATTGGAGAAGCACAGCTTTAAAATGCTTGGGGTAGAGGAGAGTGTGGGCCGGGGATAAAAGAAACAAAATTGGCAAATACTGTAATTGTTGAAACTGGGTGATGGGTGGATGGGGGTATGATTGAGTATAAGTCAAGTATTTCTAAATCAGGGCCTGAAAGTCTGTGTGACTGTGCATATGTTTTAAATCCAGTGATTTCTGGGGTTTTTTTGTATTTTTTTTTATTGGTTTGAGAAGTTAGTAAGTGTTGAGATAAATATACCTTATTGCTTCCCTTTCTTCCTGTCCCAGTTTGTCAGGTTATTGGGTAATATTCAAAAACATGAATGCATATTTCTTGCAAAAGTGTTTCTTATCAAATCACATTGTTTCTTTAAAATTTGCTAAAGAGCCTTATTTTAAACTGCCAATGCCAATTTATTGTCAATCTGTCTCTCCAGGCACGCTTAAAAAGGCCTCTTAAGAGCCTTGACGGTGCTCTCTATGATGATGATGATGATGATGATGATGATGATATTGAAAGAGCAAGCAAGTAAGTAATGGATTTTGGTGTCCTATTAAGTGGTATGGCTTAACAGCAGAAGTTTTTGGTAATAAAGGGTATTTTGAAGTGTATGCGCTCCTAGAGCTCAGATGTTGCCCTTTTACAGTGTTCTTCAGCAAAAGGACCTTGCAGTGCTCTGCAATGTTGTGGGGGATATCTTGGGACAGGAAACTAAGATGGACCTTAAATATCTTGTTCTTGGAAAGCAATAATGTCTACAGAGATACCTGGGATAGTGTTAAAGGGGCAATAGAAGCCCATCTAAATTAGGCTCTTACTCATTCTGAAGAAAGGAAGGTTAAATATCAGGAATGGTGATAATAGTCAATAGAAAGAAATGGAATTGAGGGTACAGGAGACAAGTTCATGGTGATATCAGAAGATGAAAATTTAATAAAAAGTGTTAAAAATTAATTTTAATATAAGGGAAATACATGTTTAGCTTTTTGCAATTGATACATGAGAATGACAAAATGATCATTCTCTTTCTTCATTAAATATATCTCTGTCTACATAAAGGGATGTGCATTCTCCTCTAAAATAAGTGAATAAATAAAGGAAAACCGTATTAAATATGGAAAGTGAATTTAGGCTATAGCAAACTTTCCAAGTAGTTCAATCTAATATTCCTGAAGTTAGGGTCCCAAATTCCACAGAATTAAACTGTGAAAAGCCCTACTTCTACTTTCAGTTTCATAAGGTACTGTAAACTTTTTACTTGTTCTTAATGCATGTATAAAATATTTCCATATTTGAATTGGTATACATATCACTATAAAGAATTTGGTCATGAACCAATTATTGATTTTATTAACTCATTAATGTAATGTAATTGGTGAGAGATTACTTACATGCAGTAAATATGGTTATTTATCTACTACTGTGTGTTTTATTTTTCTTCAGGTTATCTTCTGAAGATGGTGAAGAAGCTTCTGCTTATCTTTATGAGAGTGATGACTCTGTTGAAACAAGAGTGAAGACTCCTTACTCAGGTGAAATGGACTTACTAGGAGAGATTCTTGATACATTGAGCACACACAGCTCAGATCAGGGGAAGCTGGCAGCTGCAAAGAGCTTGGATTTCTTTAGATCAATGGATGACATTGATTATAAACCTACGGTTAGTAGACTTTTTTAACTTGTAAAATTAGAAGAAAATATTCTTGCCTTTGCTGTCATTCTGGATCTTATAATCTTTGTTGGTAGAAGCATTTAGCCTCTAAATAGGTAAAGGGTCAAAACTTCAAAAATTTGATAAAATTTAATCACTAGAAATTATTTCTATTAATAAAATTCTAGTATTTTCCCTTTCATTTATCTAGTTCTGGTGGTTATTGTCATAATTATTTTGTCAAGCAATAATGTTTTCTTGCCGTCTAATTTTATACTTGTCTCTGGGGAATTTTTAAAATGTGAAATGTTTTCACTTTTTCCCTATATTTCCTGAGTTTTCAAAAAAATTCACTAAATGTATTCATTCAAATCATTTTTTCTTACCCAAATATGAACATGATTTTATTTTTTAACATTGTTTTATGCAAATGCAACTGAATGCTTTAAAAACAGCAGAGATAGAAGTATGAGTAATGACAATCCTGTTCTTATTGTAAGTGACTTCAGAACTTGGCATTAATTATATAATCTAGTTTGAATTTGATAGGTGACAGCTGCAAGGCAATGGAAACCAAAGTCCATTCCATTTCTTCCAAATGGCTGTTAATAGGGCCATTTGGAAGTGTGTAAAATTAACTCTCAATGCTGTATTTTCTCTGAGAGGAACTTAACGCTATTAACATTTATTTCAAAATGAGAAAAAAAGTACTAAATTAATGCTTATTAAAAGTTTTCTGAATTTGTTGTTTCTTCTTTTTTCAGAATAAATCTAATGCTCCTAGTGAGAATAACCTGGCTTTCCTCTGCAGTGGTTCTGGTGACCAACCAGAGTGGAATCTTGGACAAGATGATAGTGCCCTCCATGGCAAACACCTCCCTCCATCTCCCAGGAAGCGGGTTTCCTCTAGTGGTTTGACAGATTCTCTGTTTATCCTGAAAGAAGAAAACAGTGAGAAGCACCTCAGTGCTGACAATGTGAGTGACCCTGCTTCAGGATTGGATTTCCAACTCACTTCCCCTGAAGTTTCCCAGACTGATAAAGGAAAAAGAGAAAACAGGGAAACGCTAACCCAGATTTCAGATGATCTGCTTATACCTGGTCTTGGGCGGCATTCATCGACTTTTGTTCCTTGGGAGAAAGAAGGGAAAGAAGCCAAAGAAACTTCAGAAGATATTGGACTGCTCCATGAAGTAGTATCATTATGTCATATGACATCTGACTTCCAACAAAGCTTGAACATTTCAGACAAAAACACAAATGGAAACCAAGCTTAAATCTTGCATCCAAGCTTCTATGGAGACATTCTGAGATTCAATGCAATCTGTATCATAAACAGAATGATTTGTAGGAATGGCAACTCTTACTATTTAATTTTTTTTTTTTTTGCATTTGGAACACTTTCCTCACTTGTTCATTTTGAGGATATATGAAATGCATTGATTTTTAAATATAAAGCGAATTCTACTGTGCTTTTAAATCAGGTACTAGTGTGTATGTATGTTAAAAGTATGTATTGAACGTAAGATTTCCCAGTGTTTGGTGCTTAATGCCGTTCATTTTATTTAAACTAAGTATGCATATATAACCCATGCACATAACCAGTAGCTACTATACTAATCTGGTTGAGCATGAACTCATCAAGATATCAAAACTTATCAAAACTAGCCTGAAACTGATGAAACTGTTAACCCACTAATTGCCTTAATCTTAAAGCTGTATTAAGCATACTTAAATAATGTATGAAAGTGTGTGTAAAGTTTGAAAGATAAGTTATTAGTGTTCTGCAGAGCAATAATGCCTTTTTCTGTTCATCAAATCAAGGTCAAAATTCATCTTTTCAAGATTAAAAAGCTCTTATGGAAATACTTAATTTGCTTATAAAAGCACTGTAGCTGTGTTTTCCAATAAGTATAAAAGTATACATTTACCTTTCATTCAGTGAAATATAGGAAGTACTGAATTTCAATGTGAAGTTAATGACTTCTGTTTACAAATGAGACACTCTAACAAGTTCTCACAGTCTCTCTGTATGCCTTTGCTATTTAGGGGCCCACCCCAAGAAAGCCAAATACAACATAAACTGTCCTGACCAAAAAAAAAAAAAATCTTTTTTAACTAATAATTCTCTATCAAAATGCTTGATATCATCATCTCAAATTTAGTTTTTAAAATAATTGACTTTGTATTTTAGAAGTTTTAGATTTACAGAAAAATTGCAAAGATAGTACAGAGAGTTCCCATCTACCCCTGTTATTAACATCTTACGCTACTATGGTACATTTGCCCCAATTAATGAACCAATATTGATAGTCCATACTTTATTCAAATTTTCTTAGTTTTCTCCTAATATCCATTTTCCACATCAAGATCCTGTTCAGAATTCCACATTATATTGAGTTGGAATGTCTCCTTAGGCTCCTCTTGCCTGTGACAGTTTCTTAGACTTTGCTTATTTTTGATAACATTGACAGCTTTGAAGAGTACTGTCAGATAAATTGTAGCTTGCTCCTCTCTTGGAGTTTATTGGATATTTTTTTCATGATTAGACTGGGATTATGGGTTTTGAGGAGATGATCACAGAAGTAAAGTGCCATTTTCATCAGGTCATATCAAGGATATGTACTGTCAACATGATGTGTGAATGCTGACTCGGAGCTTGATAACCTGGCTGAGGTGGTAGCGTTTGTCACTCTAAAGTTCTTCCTGCCCTTTCCATGCTGTCGTTTTTGAAGGAAGTCACTACATGCAGGAGTGAGGAGTCATAATTCCCGTTCTTTAGGGCAGAGAAGTATCTACATAAATTATTGGGAATTCTGTATAGAAAATTTGTTTCTTCTTTCTCAGATTCACTGTTGAGCTTTGGAATTCGTCTGAGAAGGAATCATGTACTGATGACTTCATGATAGACTGGATTAACAGGTAGAATCAGGGAGAAAAGCAGTGACAGTATGGTTAAATTGTTATTAGCATTTTCAGTATATCGACTCTATACATGATTTTTTTTACATTTCTTTTTAGAAAATATGTTCAAGAAATCATTACAACATTACAAAAACAAAATACTTTCAAGAAACCATTAAAGAACCCCAATAAGACTATATTCTAAATATTTATTGAAAGAATATAATTTCAGTTAAAATCCAAGAAGAGGGTTTGAAATAATTTAAAGAAAATGACCAAGTTTCTTTAAAACCTATGTTTCAAAATCTAAATGGATATGTGTTATTTGGGACACTTATTCATTATGAATAAGAAGACAAGTCTTGTTTCCCTTATAAGTATGGACTGTATACATTAAGGAAAACAATGTTTAATCCTTATTTTTTAATACAAAAGGCTGAAGGTTCTTGTCAAATGTTGCCTTTATAAGCTTATTACAAAATTATAACTTACTTTACTGAGGTTTATAATGGAAGAAGTCCATATAGCAAAAGAGCTGTTTTAAATCAAGGAAAGAAGGTTACTCTGGTTGTTAATGTGCTTGGCAAATATTCCTTCATAATTTGTGAAAAGAATGCAAATCAGCCTTTTAATATGAATTTTGAAATGAGGTACAGTTTCTTGTTTTGTTTTTTCAGAACTCAGTCTGAAGAATAAGTGTAGCATAGGTCAAATTTGGTTTTTAGTCCATTTGCTTAATCGACATCATGGCTTCAGAAATCCAAATTTTGTGCTACTTTTCAGCCACCTTTCAAGGTGTTTGGTTATAATACTGTGTTGTTTTGAGGATATTTAGCCACTCATAAATAATTGTCTCAAGGTATTTAAAAGTGATTTGTGCCTTATTTTGATGCAAAATTAGTGGTTTTATTCTGTTTTAAAAGCAAAAGCAGAAAAAAAAATTCTGCATGTTATTCTTAAAATTATCCAGAATAATACTACCAAATATTTGTATTTCAAACCAGTTCAAAGTCTGCTCTTAAACTTAGACTTCCTAGTATTATGGTGGATATAGTGAGAATGAAGTTAAATTGGGGTGAGTTCCAAAATAAAGGAAAGTGTTATCTTATATTCTACAGTGCCCATATTTTCTATAGTAACTAAACCAAATATTTGTAAGCTCCTCTGCTTTTTGAAATTATTTTTCAAAGAAGCAACATCTGTTGTATAACAGAATTGTATAAACTAAAAGACTTCTGGCGTTAGTACATAGTCTTTATCTGGCCTGTAATAGAGTCATGGTTCTTTCTGAATCCCACTCTCACCTTTTTCTTTTTACCCTTACATATTGCATCCGTGATATTTCAGGGGTATAGAGAAATAATAGTATTGGAATTTAGGAGCTGTTTTTTTTAAGTGAAAATATTACTAAGTGGTATATTTTGATGATTATCTACTTTAGCATGTCTTAGAAAAGCAGCAAAATATAGCATGATTGTTTTTTCAGTTAATTAAAATTCATTAATAACATGTTCATTTAAAAACTATTCATTGCTTTTTGTACCAGTCATATGCAGGGTACAGTAACTGAGGATGTGGGGAATAAAATAACTGACATAGCCCCTGCTCTGAAGGAACAAATTAAAAGGAAAAGGAATTGCAAATTTGTATTAAAATAATGATAATAATATGCTTTGCCTGGAAGTTATTAGCTGAGATTCTAACATACACATACAAAGTATTTTAAAAACAAAAACAAAAACAAAAAAAAACTAGCTGCTTAATTTAAAGCATGCTCTAAGTATGAACCATAGTATCATTTCTAATTTCATTAACTTTCTCAATTATTATGCTAAGTATATTATGCTGCTAAGATACCCACATTTAAAGGGCAGATTCAGAGACTCCTTTAGAAACTGAGTGTCTTTGTTTATCTTATTATCAGATAACCAGGCAGCACAGGGCTCTCTATAGTGGAATGATGCTCCTTTTCAATACTTAGAGCCACTGTACTCAGTTTAGGAGTAACTGAAGGTGTGGATGCATGTTAATGGGAATCCAATTTTTACTATTTTTATATTAATAACAGCATTCTGTAGAAACAGTCCCTCCTAAATAAAAACTGTGTGTGACTGCTGTTACTAGTGCTATTCTATGCGAATATCCTAATAATAGGATTCAGGAATTCTAATGAATTGTTTCTTAATTAAGGTGAAGAAGTAGACTCCTAATCAAGAGGAGAACACTGTGAATGTCTCATAATCAATAGACCTTCATTCTCTGGTATAAAATTTGGATTTTCAGGAAAAGATTGATTATTTTCATGAATAAATTTTCTTATACGAATTCCATTTTGTTTGGCATAAAAGACCCTGAATCTTAAGATATTTGTAAATCAGAATATTTAAGAATGTGAAATGAATCCTCAAATCTAGTTTCCTCCAAAGCACTTCTTAATGTAGGAAATAGTTTTTGCAAACCCTATGTCAGTACTAATGTCTTTCCTGAGTCAAGCCCAGTAATACTGTTAGTGAATGTTTCTTAAACCTTATTTAAGAAGAGGCAGAGTGGTTTTGAGCAAGCCAGTTAACATGATTTGATGAAGAAATAAGGAATTATGTACATTTAGACAGAAAATTATTTTATTTTGAAAATAATAGGATTTTGTGCAATAATTTTTCTTGCATAATTTAGTTCATATAAATATGTACATCTGTTTTTCTGGCAGATGCCTTAAGGTCATGTTTTTTGGTATTTGAGTAAATCTGTATGTAGCCATGTTCTCATTGATTTTAGAAAAAATATATTCTTTATATTGTTGCCAGGAGAAATGTTTTTGTTTATTTAAAATTATTATGGATATTATGTTATTGTATCATAACTGCCTCAGCAACAATAAATATGCAATAAGAAAATCCTGTACCTTAGATTAGATTGACAATACTGTTACTTTAAAAGAAATATATACGGTACAAATTGCTGATTCTACGTGTGTACATTTTACAGATACTCAGTTCTGCACCACCTAAATCAAAATGGCATTTGTATGCTGATGACCACATATGTGGATTGTAGTATCCTTTGTGATGCATCTTTGATAAGATTTATAAAGGGCATTGCCAATACTTTTTGACTGTGTAAATTAAGTTAATTTTTTGTATGATGTACAGTTTGTTTAACCTTAGAGCTTCTATAGATTTCTACTTTTATTATACTTGAATGAGGCAGAAAAGCACTGTGGAAAATCTGTAGCTCTGGATGCAACATGCAAACATACCAAAAAATAATAATAAAGCAAGGTACTGAAGAGCAATGTTAACAGAATGCTTTATATCCAGAATGCTATGTTTTTTTCAAGCCACATTTTAGTTGAATGGAGTAAAGTTATACAATATTTTATTTTAAAATGTTGGAAAGTCACAAATGATTACCTCTTTGATATGATGAACCTATAAATCTATTCATCTTTGTTATTTCATTTCTCAAATGTGAGCCTTGTTGAGGTCCATTATCAAATCTAGGCTTTGGTTGATTATATGATGTTTAGGACAAGGCAGAATTTAAAAACTGCATGTTTAGTGCATCACATGTCAAGTCACCATCCTTCCGACAGTGTAACTTCCATAAGGTTATTTTGAGAACTATTTAATAATTATATTGAAAAACTGGATTTCTTGAGTCTGTTATAGTTTGGTACTTATAGCAGTGCCTAAAACAGCAACAAATATGAACTGCATGAGTCCTACAACTTAAAAAGTCACAGGAGGGGTTGAAAATAGAAGTTTTTCAAAGTTTATTTCTCTTGCGTTAGATGAAGAACTATTTAAAGGGACTGAAAACCCTGAGCTTTTTCCTTGTCTTGGTAGCAGATATCTGTAAAAACCTACCCAGAATTGTGATTTACTTCATTGTTCTTGCATCCTTGAGGCTACAGTATAAATCATCTCCAAACTTGACTACTATTGGGAAGATGTGTATAAAAGCACCACTTTGGGAATTTTTAAAAAATATGCAAAAATAAATATTGAATAAAATCCACATTACCATAAAGCACCCAACAATGCAGTTCTAAAATAAAATTGGTCACAATTAAACTTAGCATGGTGATGACTCTTCTTTTATAATTGCCCAGTTATCCCCCAATAGTGTTCTAGCTAGACTGCTGTGAGAACCCTAATACCTGTATCTCCAAGCTTTGCAACTGCTGCAATGTAAATTTAAGCCTACATCTTTCTGACAGGCCTACCTGAGAGGTATACTTTGTTTATTCTTATGTTTTGTCAATGGATTTTATTAGGTTCTAAAGTCATAGGAGAATTGTTAAGTAGTTATAATGTCACTAGGAATATAAGAGTTGTACTGTCCAAGTCAAACAACTGTGTTTATTGATCCCCACCTTAAGGTTTAAGGACAGATGAAATGTAGTCATGTATAAATGAACAATGCTTCAGGGGCCAGAAAGATGAGCTTCTCATCCAAGAGCTCTGATGGTTTCACCTAAAGCAAAGGTCAAATTCCTATTGAAATAAGCACAACATTTCCCTTTGGGTGCAGAATATCTGGGAATAACATGCCAAACCTTTCTTATTTATATAGAAGAAGCAAAAGCCTGACAATAAGAAAAGAAATATTATCCCTGCAAGCCAAGGGTTCGGCTATTTTTTGTTGATTTTGATTATGAAAACTTTGCCTGCTACCATCACAGGGATTATTAGTGTCATTACCTTCAGTGTCTCTGTATGAGAGGCCTGGTCATATCTTCATTTTATAGATGCAGAAAAAAAATCTCAGCTTGTGTTTACATATAAATAAAATACCCTACTTAGAGTATTATTATAGTAGTGGGTCTGGGAATTTCCTAGAAGTAAAAATGAGTTATTATATATGCATACAATTTTGTACATATATGGAAAATAGCGCATCAATAACACAAAAATAAGATTCTGTTGTGGAAGGTTCCAGATGAATAAGAATTATTTCTCTAAAATAAGTGTCTTCTTTGAATTATTCAATATTTATTGAAAAACTTCTATGTATGTAGCAGCTGCAATATAGTTTGAAGGACAGAAAATATTTCCAAGTATCTAATTTACTTTGAATTCATGGTGGTTTGCTGTGTACTTGGTGGTTGCTGCTTTAGTTTGGATTTGTGTCCCTGCCCAAGTCTCATGTCTAATTGTAATCCTCAGTGTTGGAGGAGAGGCCTGGTGGGAAGTGATTGGATCATGGGGTCGGATTTCCCCCTTGCTGTTCTTGTGATGTTGAGAGAGTTCTCATGAGATTTGGTTGTTTAAAAGTGTATAGCACCTCCCACTTCTCTCTTCCTCCTTCTGGTCATGCAAGACGTGCCTACTTCCCCTTGCCATCTGTCATTATTGTAGGTTTCCTGAGGCCTCCCCAGCCATGCTTCCTGTACAGCCTGTAGAACTGTGAGTCAGTTAACCTCTTTTCTTTATAAATCACCCAGTCTCAGGTAGTTCTTCAAAGCAATGCAAGAACAGTCTAATACAACAACCACGAAATATAACTATAGAATCTTAGACTTTTATCTCATCCACAGGCTCCCAAACCTAGTCTTTCATTAGATTCACCTGGAGAGGTTTTTTTTTTTTTTTTTCTAACCGAGATAGAAAAAGGATAAATTATATCCTTAATGTCCCATAGCAGCAAAAGGCCAAGCTGGGATTTGAACCCCACAGCTGGGCTTCAGCCCCCTTGCTATCAGACAGAAGTACAGGGCCGAAATCAAATGGCGTGACTATCATGAATTCCCTACACAACTTTCTTTTCTATTTCAACTTTCTCCTACAAGTATTGAGCAATCCTTTTTTGACAAAATATTCTATGCAAGTTTCTTATTTGTTTTTTCTTTATCTTGAGTACAGAATTCCCTAAATCTTTTTGGGAGATTGCATTAATGTTTAGTCCCTCCCTCCTTCTTTCTTTTCTTCCTTCCTTCCTTCCTTTTCTTACTTCTTCCTTCCTTCCTTCCTTCCTTCCTTCCTTCCTTCCTTCCTTCCTTCCTTCCTTCCTTCCTTCCTTCCTCTTTCTCTCTCTTTCCTTCTCTACACTTTCCAGCATAGTCTATAATCTCATCTCAAATAATCTGTCTTATATATACCTGTTCTCTGTAGCATCTATCTCCTCTTTCTTTCTCTTTCTGTTAATTGTATTTGTGCTTATTAGTTGGTGGAGTGGGGAGTTCTACCTGGATTATTGTATAACTATATTGATAACTATAGGAGCATGCTTGAGGACATACAAAGGCATAAGTTGTGAATTTTTTCATATGGAGCCATTATTGACTTTTAAAGCTGCTGAGAACATCTAAAGATCTCTTGCAGAATATCCAGAGATGTCATCTACAAAGTTGTTTTTCTCATGTTCAAGAACAGCACTTAAGACAAACTACTTATTCTTCAGTTTTGTTATTTTATAATCAACCTACTTTAAATATGGAGTGTATTTCAGATTTATGATGTTTTTTAGTAACACTATTTAAACATTAATTTAAAATAATGTATTTAAAATACACAAATTACTTTTGGTAACTCCAGTTCTAATTTAGGGACTGATTTTAAGATATCTATCTATTTATCTATCTATCAACTATTTCAAGATATATATCCATTAGATATCTATCTTATGAATATGTACATATATATCATGAATATCTAGATGTATAATATATATTTAGATATAAATAACACACATATAAATATATATAATATATATAATATTCATTTAATATTTCATTCTGTTTTCTCCAAAATCTAATACTTAAAATATATTTTTGAAAAAGAGCTAAGTTTTCTTAGATCTGATAAATGTCCAAATTGTATACAACCCATTAGGCAAAAATCCCAACTTGTAAAACAGATGTTAGGGAGAAATACTGTGCTTTACCTTATACCTGTATACATATATATACACCTATATATGTATACACCTATATACACCTTGTTGACAAACTGTTAGAAAATCATTTGAATGTCTAAGAAAATTAGAATTGATAAGGCTTGAAACTGGTATATTTTAAAAACTTTCTACTAGAAAAATATAACCAATATTTCTTATCAAATAATTATAGATAAGACATGGGTGCTCATACACATATTTTGGGCAAAGGATAATTTTGTATAAAAATAAGGGAATACCTTTCTTAGGGATTGTTGTGGGGTCTCAAAATTAATTCTTAACATGAAATTATAAGGTGAACTAAAAGTCCTTGGGTGTTTTGATTTCAAGATTTTTATAGGATTATGAAGTTGCTTTCCTGACACCTACAACTATTGTTTTATGTGAAGATTCTTTTCCTTTCAAGGTGCATCTTTCATATGTTTTCAAATTAGCTTTATTAAAATGTAATTTACATCCATCACAATTCACCCATTTCAAAACTATAATTCAGTGAATTTTGACAATTACATAGTCAAGTAACCACTGCCACACCAAGACTGAGAACAGTTCCTCACCCTAAAAAGTTGTTTTGTGCTCTTTCACACCTTCCCCTCCTCTCAGTCCTAATCCCTGGCCAGCACTGATACGCTTTTACTATAGTTTTGCCTTTTCAAGAATTTTACATCAATGAATTTTTTCACTTCGCATAGTGGTATTGTCAATCCTTTTAATTTCAGCCATTCTGGTTTGTGTGTAATGGTATCTCATTTTGGTTTTAATTTTTATTTGTCTTATGACCGAAGATCATGAGAGTCTTTTCATGTGCTTACTGGCAATTCATAGATCTTCTTTGGAGAATACTATATTCAGTTATTTTGTGCATTTTGTATTGAGTTGTTTCTCTTATTCCTGACTTGTAAAACTTTGGCTTTAAAAAAATATATTGTGGATAAAAGTCCCTGATACGTGTTTTACAAACCTTTTCTCCAGTTCGTAGCTTGCCTTTTCATTTTCCTGATAGTGTCTTTACAAAAAAGTCTTTAATTTGAGAATGTCTATCAGTTTTATTTTTCATCATTTATGCTTTTTGTTTTCTAAACAATTGTTACCTAACCAGAATGTCACTTGGCTTTTGAATGTTAATGTAACCTTGTACTCCTAGGATCAATTCAACTTAATCATAGTGTATTATTTTAAAAAATCTATTGCTGGATTCAATTTTCTGATACCTTGCTAAGAATTTTGGTGTCTACATTTATGAGAAATATTGCTGTGTAGTTTTCTTTAGTGCCTTTACAATTTTAGTATCGGAGCTAACCTAGATCTCATAGAATGATTTGGGAAATTTTTCTCCCCTTTTAGTTTCTGAACTATTTTGTGTAGAATTAGTATTATTTTCTCATTAAGTGTTTGGTTTAGCTCAACAGTGAGGCCATCTGGGCATCGAGTTTTCTTTAAGGGAAAGTTTTAAGCTATGAATTCAATTACTTAGCAGATATAGGACTTTTCCGCCCATCTCTTCATTTTCAGGTGAGCTTTGATAATTTATATCTATCAAGAAATTTGTTTAAGTTTTAAAATTTACTTGCATTAAGTTGTTCAAAATATGATTTTACTATTCTTTTAATATCTATTGGGTCTGCAACTATATTCCATCTTTTATTTCTGATATTAATAATTTGTGTCTAGCTTTGGGTTTCATTGGTTTTCTCAATTTTAAATCAGTTTCTATATCACTTCTTTATATTCTTATCATTTTGTTTTATTAAGGAAAAATTTGCTTAGCATATAAACCTAACCGTGTTAGAGTATGCAATTGAGTAGTATTTAGTACATTGGTGTTGTGTAAGCATCACCTTTATTTAGTTTCGAAATATTTTCATCGCCCCAAAAGGAAACTATTCATTAAGTTGTCACTTTCACTCCCTCTCTTAGGGCCTTATCATTTTTATTTCCTTGCTTCTGCTTATTTTAGGTTTAATCTTTTCTTTTTCTTTTGTCTTAAGGAGATACTGATATTTAATCTTTCTTCTTCTGCCAGATCAAAATACATATGTTCTTTTAAAATTTCTCCTTTGACTTATGGGTTATTTGGAAGTGTGTTGTTTACTTTCCTATCATTTGGAGATTTTTTCAAATGCCTTTCTGTTATTGATTTCTAATTTAATTAGATTAAAATAATACGTTAATTAGA